GACGGTTTTTAACTAAGTAATGGCACTTGACTAGTAACTACATTAAATATGGCCCTAGACTTGAGTGTATTTGATACTCTTTAGGAATAATCAAAAATTCAATGATTCATTTGCCATCTCGTCGCCTTCCAGCTGTTCAGGTTTCGGGTTCTTTTACGTACGAAAGTTGTTTCCACATCGTATGATCATATGAAGATCTGGAAGATAGTCTAAGTCTAGTTTGTCAGTGACCAAAAAAATAAGAAGAAATCTGAGGTTTACCACTTACTATAAATGTAAATCCCTTTTTATCGAACAGAGAAAGATTTAAAAGCAGACGACGTATTGACGTATTGAAACAGGGCAAAAAAACGTAACAATCAGACAATTTCCAGGTTTTGGTTTGATAATCCAGATCTAAAGTTGACTACTCTTTGACCGATTTTAAACGCCAACCAAGCGACACTAGCTCACGATCAGACATAGCATTATTTATCGAATCAACTCGCGAACTCGCTTWCGATAGAAGTCTTGTCGTCATAGTCAATGCTGACGGCGTCCACCCTTTTGACGTGTGGGAGAGACAATCATGTGACGTCACATCATAGTCAGGGAATCCCCAATTTTCTGATGTTTTTGTTTTCGCGTATGAAATCACGAGCGTTGTTTAAAATCTGCTTAAATAAAGCTGTTATGATTGACAATTTTTCTTGATTTTTTTTTATTCAAGAATGTCTTATTTCYGTGGGTTATCGAGCGAATTTGAAATTGAGCTGCCAGGTATTTGATTTATGGCTTAGTAGAAGAGTTTAGCTCAAAATCGCTCGTAATAATACAGTATTTTTAGCCTTTTAACAAAAATCAAATTCATATTAAAGAAAAGAAGCCTGCTTTCAAAACGATATTATATTTTTTTTGTAATATCTAAAAGATATTCAATGTTTTATCAGCTTGCAATGCGACTTTATTGAGTGGTCTTTTTTTAAAAGAGCTTTTTTAAAAACAGTTTATTTTTATTTTTATTTGAAGATTTTTTATGCCGTTTAAGCTCACTTCCGGTTTCTCCGGGAGTAAAAATATTTCGAAAATGAAATTTACCATTTGATCAAGTATTTCTTTATAAGTGCAAGAGATATGCGCCAAAACAACTAGTCGTTGTGCATGCTAAAGCTCTTGACTTGTTCGAGTTATTTACCAGGTCTGCTTTTCACTTGAATTCAAAAGACCAGCAACAACTGGGCCAAAGACTTCTTAAAAACATGTCAAGAAAGTCTAAGTACTCCAAGTTTTTACCAAAAAAAAGTAAAAATAAATCAATCAATGCAAAAAATGTTCTTTATCATTTGCTGAAATGTAATAGAAATTGTAAAATAGTAAAATTTAGCAGCCAAAAAAATGTGAAAAAAACGTTTTTGGATTAGTCCGATCAGGGAAGTGGTAAATAATGTGCGGGGGCGACTGTGCGTGGCTTCTCAACATCAGGGCTTTGATGGACACGAGAGCGAGTGGCGCCATCTTAGTTTCGAACAGAATACAGTTAACAATTTACGGGAGTTATTTTCAAGCAGCACAAACCTCTAACTAAGCTCAAAACCAACAGCAATTACCGATGGATACTAATACTTGAATTCTAGCTAAGCATTAGGGCTTTTTGAACTCCGACCTAGTCAAAATCGTTGACTGAAAGACGCCCTTTGTTTGACGGTAGTAGAACTTGTGGCAAGAGCGCCTCTTTGAGAAGGCGAGACCCTACAAGATCCGAAATACTCTGCTTTTCCTTATCCGACGAGGTTAGTGTACACGTATTTTTTAGAATATAAGTAAGCGATCAGGTTTGAGTGTTCAAAAGAGTCTTTCTACGAGTTATTTTTAAGTTTGTGTCGGTTGAATCTTGGCTTGGCTCAACTCATGATGACGGCATTTCGCGTTTTGTCTCGGCTTCTTTGTTCGATGAACCGCGGACTTGCTAAAGCTTATTTTAGCTTAGTTGTAACACTGGGCTTTCTTTTTTCTACAGATCGAATAGCTACRAGRCCAAAGAAGAGAGGGTATTTTTCATCTGTTAGGGTTTTGGACTTGTTTGCTGTGGTTCAAGACTGTGAGGAGATTAAGTTCTGTTGCCAACTTATCTTGTCGTTTGGTTGTACGAGATTCGCCATTTTAACAAACGTCAACACTGGGTGGGTATTTTATCAGGCAACTCGCAAGCTACTGACCTTTTACGAAATCTCGCCAGTCAAATCTTCAGCTGTGTTTTTTTAAAACGATTTTTTWAAAAAATTAGACGCTCACAAAGTCTATTGTCGTTCAAGCCGTCGAAGAAATAGTGTTGGATAGCTTCTTCGCGGCTGTGGGAAGCRCCGTACGCACAGACAGAAAAAGAGGCTGAACTCACGGAAACCCGAGAAAGCAATTTGTAAGATTGCATAGCTCGTATACTCATMGATCTCAAAGATCTGCTCGATTTTCGTGAAAATGTTCTGATAACCGTTGCTTAGAAAAATGGTAAGCATCCGAGAGTTGATTGATAATTTACGCGCAACAAAGCCGCCATACGAGTGCCCTTTGTGCCAAAAATTCTACAAAAGCTACAGCGGAATTGAGTATCATTTGCAGAACTTTAAACACGATGGAACAGACGCTCCTCAGCCTCCAGCTTCGTCCAAAAAGAGTAAAGGAAGGGGACGCAAAAGCGTCAAAACAGGCAAAAATAAACGACCTCCCCCATCGCCGCCTCAGGTTGTTGTTCGGGAAACTCTTACTTACGCTCAGGCACAACTCATTGTGGAAGTGGAATTAGATGGCTTAGTCCAAAGAATCGGCATCGATGACAGCCTTGAAGTTCTTGACGAGAATAGAGATCAAGAGCCAGAGAATAGCATAACTTCGATTGAACATGAAACTCCGAAACCCGTGTCAAAAAACAAAAACAAATCCACGAAAAATGATGCTGAACGGACGCCGGCTCTTCCGAAACCCGATTTTGTTGATAGAGATGATTTTCGTCATCCCGATGCTCCAGCAAGACCGACTACGTATTTTCGATTTATAGAACAAACTACAGAGGAAATGGATGAGAATGTTGAATACGATATGGACGAAGAGGACTACAGTTGGTTGGATTTGATCAATGACCAACGAAAGTCGGAAAATATTACCCCGGTCTCCCAAGAAGTGTTTGAAAATTTAATGGATAGATTGGAAAAAGAATCTTACTTTCAGAGCCAAACTACCTGTGATCCAAATCAGTACATTGATGAAGATGCTGTTTGCTGCATCTGCAATGATGGAGAATGCCAAAATAGTAATGTGATTCTATTCTGTGACATGTGCAACTTGGCCGTGCATCAGGAGTGCTATGGAGTCCCATATATTCCCGAGGGACAGTGGCTGTGCAGACGGTGTCTGCAGTCACCATCCAGAGCAGTGGACTGTGTCTTGTGTCCCAATAAGACTGGTGCATTCAAGCAGACTGATGATGGCCGGTGGGGGCATGTAGTTTGTGCACTGTGGATTCCTGAAGTTTGCTTTGCAAATACTGTTTTTCTTGAACCTATTGACTCAATAGAGAATATCCCCTCAGCTCGCTGGAAACTAACATGCTATATCTGCAAACGTCGCCAAGGAGCAAGCATTCAATGCTTCAAAACAAACTGCTACACTGCTTTTCATGTTACATGCGCTCAGCAAGCAGGCTTGTTCATGAAGATTGAGCCAGTGAAAGGGGAAAATGGACAACTGACTGTTCGCAAGACAGCATACTGCGATGTTCATTCTCCTGGACACCTTGGCGAAGAWAAAGACCTTGATATGGACAGTGAAGAGAAACTTYTACCTGTTAAAAACAAACTTGCAACAAAGAATGGAACTTCAAAGAGGAGYATCAAGAAGTTTAGAAAGCTTTTGGCCGAAAAGAAGACAATGCCGGTTCCTGTAGTAAACATCCCATTTATTCCATCGCACAGGTTTGTAGTTTATACAATTTGTACGTGTATGTTATATGTTTTATATTATAGATTTTACCAGCAGAACTTGTTCATATGGCTCATTTTTGTACCTGTAAGTGCAGGTTAAGTTAAAATTGAAAAGAGACCTTGATTGTGAATTTAACTCGGGGCAAAATGGTCTCAACATTTGATTATTACATCTCTAGATACTAAAGTTACCAATGTCACTTTCAATGAATCTGAAGTGGTTGTTTTGCTCTTTTTACRATTCAGTTTACAAACAAATTAAGCTGGTAATTTTATCACAATTTATCTGTACAATTATTAATGATTTTATCAAAACATACTCTAAATGTTATATAAAAATGTCTTAAAAAATTGCAAGAAAGATAACTATCTAAGCCTGTCGTTTTATAATTAAGTATATGGATATTACATAGTCATTGCCATCAGAAAAAGACCTCAAAGGGTCATTAATTTACCACTTGTCAAAGACACAAAGAGAGTCTTGTACATAAAAGATCCATGACCTGTCAGTTTAGATATCTTGATGTTACAGGTCTCAACAGACATAATAATACAACCATGTGTTTTTCATGAATTATTCATATTTCATGTTGTATTTTGACCTGTTAAGCTTTAAACAAAGGCACTGTAAAATACATACTTTAAAGAAAAAAAAAGAGAGTATATCGAAATACCATATCATTAGCTTTTCTGTCTTTTAAATAAATTCACAGATATAAGATAACATCTAAAATATGATAATAGACCAAGTTTAACTTCAGGCTAAAAAGAAGCAATCAAGATATTAGTGTTTGATAACATATTATTAATAAAAGCTTGTTAACYTTGTCTTGTTCACAGGCTTGGAAAGATTGTTAGTAAAGTTGCCATGGCACGCAAAGCTCAGTTTGTTCAGTCGTTGCAGAGTTATTGGATGCTCAAACGGCAGTCTAGAAATGGTGTCCCCCTTTTGAGGAGGCTGCAGGCGACCCATCTCAGTCAAAAAGGAGGTGGRGAYGAGGTAAGARTCTAGTKTATWTATTAGTTCTAAAGAATTTTTTKATCACTTGTTAAAATTGAAGTGGTGACTTGTTTATGGTTTATGTTCAACAATATTTTACATAATGTCAACATATAATCCAAATATTTTAGAGTTTGATGTGATGATAGAAGGTAAAAATCCCCTCAATCATGTAAAAACGGCTTTCAATAGTGCTTGTAATGATGCCCACATCATGCATGTAGTATGAAAGTTTACATGTATGAAATTTTAATACCAAATTATTGCATGATTTTTCTCAGACATGTTAATGATTTTATATTCAAAACAGAATTGAAGTCAGTTATAATATTACTGTTCTACTTTGGAAAATATTTATTGTTTTATTGATGTTTTACCWTTATATATTATATGCAGCTTATAAACCTCTTCCATGTAAAATTTAAAATTTTMTCAGTTAAAGACATCAAGATCTTTATCTTCATCATCAAAAACTCAAAACAATTTTCTGTTTGAATTGCAAAAACACGCTGTAAAACGTTCAAATATTGACAGAATATTTAGGTGATATTATTACAAATATCAAGACCAATTATCTTTTCTACAAAAAGAGTGTTTACATAGACAATAATATTTGAAAACATTTTTTCCTTTTGTATGTTTTTAAGAATTGTTTTTGTTTTAATTTTCTATGGGTTATAAACCTTGGGCTGTTATCTCTTTAAGAATTGGATACAAGTCTCCAGCTGTTTTGTTCTTTTGTGTGTGATAATTTTCTGTTTTTACATTAAATCCTATTTTAAGAGCATAAATCCTGTTGAGAGCTCTGAATGTAAAGCTTAGTGTTGTCTATATTTGCCATTTGTTTGAATAGTACATATTATTTGTTTATTTTGAAAACATACCGGTAGCTAACAAGATGGATAAGATATTTTTTTCTTTTTCAAGGAATAATTTTATTGCTTTTTGATTGAAATTCTGTCAAAATTCTGCCTTCAGCAGTATTTTGTCTACTCTATATCCTAAACATTTCATTTCTGTGTGTTTGCTTAATGCAAGAGTGAGTTTTAAAAGCATAAAATACATAAAAAACAATGTAGATATTCTCTCATTTAGAGCCAGTTTTTTTTATCATATCGATTTTTCAATGATTGACACACAGTTGTTAGTGATTATTATTTTCAGAAAGTACTTACAAAATACATAATTCATAAGTTAGTATTCAATTGTGTTGGATTTTAGTGTCTCTTGATTTAAACATTACATTATATATTTTTTACATTATAWTTTTGATTGGATCACAGAATGTAAACAGTAAAACCATGAAAAAAATTATTAATTAAATAGTGCTATATTGTACAGAATTATTTAAATCMCTTTGTTTTTTTATTCTCTAATCTACACTGTATTGCACTATTTAGGTAGAAATTTTTCAAGGTTTTAGTGTTTTGCACTCATCAAGAATTTATTTTTTCATTATTTTGTAGTTTTACTCATGGTTATCAAGCTTTTAATCTTAAGTATGATTGACTTTCAAGTTCAATATAGAATATTTTGCATCAAACTAAATGCAAAACACTATGGTCATTAAAAAAATTGATGTCTAGGGCTGTTTTGGTGCATTTGATCAATACTTTCATTTTGATTCATTACCTACAATAACACTWATAATCTTTGTTTACATTAACAGTCCAGTGAAAGATCAGAGAGGATTAAAGCTATGAAAGAGCAACTACACTTTTGGCAGAGACTTCGACATGACCTGGAGAGAGCTAGACTGCTTGTTGAACTGATACGGAAAAGGGAAAAGTTGAAACGAGAACATGTATGTTTTGTTAGTCTAGGGTAAAAGAACAGAAATTGTGATCTATTGATAAGATATGGGACACAGATATTGAATAATGGYTGTCCAGTTGTACATGAAAATGTAATTGATAACATCATATTTGCATTTAGTCATTTTAAAATGTTCWCGCAAGAAATTTGGTGTTGTTTACATTGTTATGCGACCAGACCAAATAAAACTTCAAGCTGCAATTAGCACTGGACTGCTGTCAGTCAACTAAAGTGCTTTACCRTCAACCTGTGCTTTGTTTGAAGATTTYSCTTGACTAAAATTTTGCATTTCTGGAATTTTGTCCGGGCTACGTGCGTAGCAGTGCAAACAACAATTGACAGTTCGACATRTATTTTTAAAATTGATTACTAGATGTTTATATTTATTACAAAGTAAATTAATTATTAATATTTGATATTGAAAATTGAAAGTTCTGTCAGAAAATTTTGAAATGATGATCTTGAAGATATTAGCATTCAAAAGGGTCCTTGTCTTCAATACTGACATAATATTTCATTGGATGACACAGGTGAAAGTCAAGCAACATGTTGTGGACCTACAGTTGCAGCCATTGAACMTGGTAYTGAGAAAGGCTTTGGATCARATCCAGACYAAGGACCCTGGGGATATATTTACTGAACCAGTTGATCCAAATGAGGTATAATTATGCTAAAGAAWCTTTGTTATTGTATAGATATAGAATTATCTTATTATTCCTAGTGTAAAGTGTAGAAATAGTGTGAATTACTGGTGTATAGTGTTGATTAGACGTCAATAGAGGGAAGTCATTAAACCTGTGGAACAAATTGACTATTTGTGATAGTTCAATAGATGCAAAAGAAAACAATGGAATTAGAGCATACTAATTATTATATATTATATATTTTAAATTATTTACCCCAATGAAGGAGTAACATTCAAAAAATAAGTAACTTATTTCACCTACTTTTTTACGGTGTTAAATTTATCTTTTCACACAACTGCTAATTAGTTAATGTGTGATAGTCCAATAGGTGCGAAAGAAAACAATGGAATTAGAGCGTAATAAGGCATATTAGTGAAAGATTTATTTCCAGGGTTTTTGAATTCACCCTAGTAAAGGAATTAGCATTATTTAGCACTATTTTTTAGCTATCTATTTCACAGGTTTTCGCTCTTTATCTCTCTAACGCATGTGAATATCATAATAAATACTTTTTTTAAGTTTTTATAAACTTCATAGTAAACTTTGCTGCATCAAACTTGGAGTTTACTATGAAGTTAAATCCAACCTTCAAACATCTTTTTTAAATTTTTATAAACTTCATAGTAAACTTTGCTTGCTTTTACCTTGGAGTTTACTATGAAGTTAAATCCAACCTACAAACATCTTTTTTGTGACGAAGGCCTTCTGGGAAGGCTTCGTCACTATGTCATCGGGTCTGAGTGAGTTGTAACCATTCCAATTGAAGCAGGCGTTCCTAGCGGGTATTTTTGACCATGTGCGTAAGTGAGTTGTTGTTCTTTTGACAATACAATGTATTCAAACTATTTTGTGTCTAGAACTAGACACAAATGTCTATCCATTTGCAGTCAAATTTGTATTTCTAAAAACATATTTCAGATTTTGGGGCGCTTTATATGGTTTGTATTCTAACAAAAGTCCGATTGCTTCGCTTGGCTTCAATATTACACAAGACCTCACTGCAGGCGGCGTTCTTCAATTCCATTAGGGGAACAAATAAACCACGGAAATGGCGTTCAAAATCTCCTTCGGCAGACTCAAACTTCCCTTCAGGGAACAAGTAGTCACAGCAAGTTATAGTCTAACTCGCTTAGTCGTTTATTAATATTTAACTGAACTTTAATTTTGTATTGTTCAATGCTAGAGTACAAACATTAAAAGAGTCAAAAGAATTAGCATATTTTAGCAGTATTTAGTGGTATTTATGTTGCACAGTTCCCTTCCTTCCTTGTGTCATCCATCTGTTGACGGTGAAACGTTAGTAAACATTTATCTACATAATTGACATTGTTCATTAATATGTTGTTTTATATATCTAAATACAGCAATATGTAGAAATTATGGTCCTTTTTGCTCATACTTCAAGTATATATAAAATATATCAGAATTATGGGATGTCATTTTCAATATTTGCTTTAGAGAGTACTAGTGCTAGGTAACTTAAAAATATCTTAATTCATAAGCCTCTATTTTGTTCCTGTTAAACTATAGAATACATGCTAGTGTTATTTTTGAAATTCACTGATCATACATTGAAATACCAGCCATAATAGAGTGAACTCACTTGATTTGTGCAAACTGTGCAAAACTGAATAGTGCAAAACTAATGATAGATTACTCTATTTATTGTTATCAAAAACTATTTAGTACCATAGTAATATTTGTTGGATGAATTTAGTGAGTTAACTCTAGGTATCATTGCCTAAAAGCGTAAAACATCTACAACATAATAACAATGACTCAGTGTCAGAAGAATTTTTTAAGATGGAATTACAATGTTATCTTTGTTTACTATTTTGCAAATAATATGAAAGAGACTACAAATTACACTCTGTCTTATGTCCTATTCTAGATCTTTAAGGATCCTATTAAATCTCTTATGCCTGAGTCACATGCAGTCCTCGACTGCGTATTTTTTAAATTTGTTATAAACTGTTTGAATTGTGTTGTTATTCCAGGTACCAGACTACCTTGATGTYATAGACCAACCTATGGACTTCTCTACCATGAGAACAAGAATAGAATCCAACCACTACCATACAATAGACCAGTTTGAGGCTGACTTCAATCTCATCATTGATAACTGTATGCAGTATAATGCRCCAGATACAATCTATTACAGAGCAGCSATCAAGCTCAGAGACCAGGGAAGACCGATCATTCGCGCTGCTAGAAGACAAGTCGAGCGAGCAGGAATTGATCCGATGACAGGGCTTCATACAAAAGAGCCACCCACTTTGGCYGATAGAGAACCAACAGAGGAAGGTTGGTGGACTTGTGTATTAWACTTTTAAATGTCTATTAAGAAGTAAGAAGTAAATAAGTGCAAGGTTTTGACCAGCAAAACATCGAGTTTCAAGAATTAGCCAAGCTTTTTAACGTATCATCGGGGATGTTTGGTATCTCTCTGTGATTCTCTGTGTAACAGTGGTTAGAGCCAGTGAACTAATGTATAATAATGGCATGAATTCAAAGCAAAAGCTGGATAATTTACATGAGTGCAGGTTTTGTTTTATAGCAAAAACAATGCACTTTTCAATAACTGAAAATAAGGATCAATTAACATTTTAGTTCTTCAGTCATTCATCCTTTCCCATTTCCATTTCAGATTTCATTTTGACAGAAGAGCAACGCAAGGAYATGAGTCTAGAGGAACAACTCAAGGACTTGACCGAGAAACTTGACATGACCCAAGCCATCAAACATGGAGGTCGGTTCAAACTTATRAAATAGTTTTGTCGTGAAAAGTTGGTATTAGTTTCTGAAGATTTCCTCTTTACTTCCATTAGGTGTAAGAGCGACTAGAGTTAGAATGTTACGCAAAGAAATGGCGCTTGTGAGAAGAAAGTTGAACCAGGTAAGAATGTTTCCATTCATTCGTTTTGATTGTTATTCATTCATTGGTATTTATTCAGCGATGCTAGACTGATTCCGTAAGGCACAAACTGTGAGTGAAATAAAAAAAATCTGCAGAGAGGGAACTGGGACCCACTTATGGAATCTGTCAAGCAGCGATGCCAGTAATTCTTTTACCGCAAATTGAATATTAAGTCGTGTCGGTTGTTTTTCAGGAAAGAAGACGTTTCTCAGAATCAAGTGGTTAGTAGTTTATTTTGTTTTCTTTTCTTATTGTAACTTTTATGGTTTAACACAYCTAAAATGTACTTTATAATCCTCCCTTTGACAATACCCTGGGCCGTTTTGAATGAATCGTTATAGTGATTGTTTTTGCATTGATGGATACCAGGGAATAGTTGTTCTAAGACATAGATATCATTGTATATGTCCTTTGTTTTGATGCGATAGCGTGACACTACCTTTCAAAATAACGTTAGGTTCTGTGGAGGAGGGCTAACTGTGGAGGAGCCTATCGACTCTGTAAATGTCAAGTCATGCTCTCTAACCATTAGACTACTACTCTTGTCTCAATAATAACAGTTTTATGTAGAAAATCCACTTCCTTTTTAGTCGATCGCTAGTTTCCCATTTCATGATTTCGTTTCTATGCTTTCTAGGTGGTAATATCAATGACGATCGATTTTCAAAGTCCTTCGAGTGTACCAGTGAAGATTCAACGAGTGAACCACCACCGATCAAGAAGCAGAGACTTGAGGAAACCTCGGTTCACCATGATGGAGATGTGGTCTCTGCGCATGCTCATGGATCTGTAACCACTGAGCTCAAACCAACGCCAGACTCGTCTGTTTCTACTACAACAACCAACCCAAGTCCCGGAATGAGYCGTCGCAGTGGAATACTTTTCAACAAGGGACGAAGTCGTGTACGACGGAACTTAAACGCCTCGACCGAGAAGTCTGGGAACGAAGTGACGTCAGTACCAAATCACGTGCTTCAACCGGTCAATCATGAAAAGAATACGGAAATCACGGCCACGGAATCGCAAGTCACGCAGAATCACAGAACCGACATGATACGTAACACCGACGTGTTTCTTGAGGARAARACCGCTGTRAARGAGCCCGTTACGCATAAATGGCGTAACGACAGCGTTAGCAGTAACGAGGGTACGTTTACGCATAGAAAACCCTACAAAACAGAACTTGGGAAACTTATAGAAGACGCAACGTCGCCGCTCTACGACTCGCACAACGACAAGCTRAGTTTCTTCGCCAACGGCCTTCGACAGAGAAATTACAGAACGTATACCAGCGAGTCAGAGTCGGACAACACCGAAGTTCGAGCGAACGGCGGTCGACAGAGACGAATAGGTCGGATGTTCTCGTCGGTTTCCGAAGACGAACAAAGCACGACGGATACCGAAGTGTGTGCGTTAGAAAACAGGGYGGTCAATGGTCCTGTCGAGAAAAAGAAACGACAACGAAAGACGACTACGGATTCAGATATGGATTTGACGCCGTTAGAGCCGCTTGAACTGGTGTGGGCAAAATGTCGTGGGTACCCATCTTATCCTGCCTTGGTGAGTTGTGATGATGATAATGATGATGATGATGATAATGATGAAGATGATGATAATGATGACAATGATGATGATGATATCAATAATGATGACGATGTTAAGCGATGTGGTAATCGTGATTTTGGATAGGTGATGGATTATAGACACAAAAGAAACAATGCAGTAGTCAACTTTAGATATTTTGGTTCAATGACTATGTACGCACACGAGGCTCCGGGAAAACAATGGATAATCTTGATTTATTCTTTTATTTCCCCGGAACCTCGTCTGCAATTCTTTTGTGAATAGTCACTGAACCAAAATATCTRAAGTGTAAAGAAGTGTATTAGTTTAATATCTGTTTCACGTGTAATTTTAGTATTTCACTCGACATTTTTGTTTCTTTTCATTTAATATTTTATTTTATCATATAATTATCTATGAAATACCTATATTTCTCCATTTCTTAAACTTGATATCTTCACTAGTGAAAATAGCACATTCGAGGTTTCTCTATATAGTGAAAGTAAGAAAAAAGCTACGCTCACTCGTGAGAGATCTTTTCAACACTCGAAGATAAAATCCGTATCTCCGCGCGCCCATGTAATATCCTCTATATACCATCTTTCTTATACTTCAGATAATTGACCCGAAGACCAAGAAAGGACTTGTTTATAACGGRATACCAATTCCTGCTCCTCCTGARGATGTCATGAGAGAGAAATCAGTCACCGATGACTCGCTGTACCTCGTTTTATTCTTCGACACTAGACGGACATGGTACGTACTAACTGCGTTGAATGAATTACGAATAAAGTTGAGGAAAATGATGAAATAGCGAGAATTCAAATGCGCAACACACTACTTAGGAAATGAATGTTGATGATGATGATGATAATTACAGCTGATGATAATGTCTATGTCTATGGAAAGACAATTGAGGAAATGAGAAAAATAGTGATATTATTAGCAAGATGGTGTAAATTACAGTATTTCTGACCGAATTCAAGCCATTAACTTACCACATCATCAGATCTGATCGTGATGAATCATATGATGATGTTGATGATGATGATGACAGTGAAATATTGTTATACCGATTTCATTCCGTTAAATCACCTTAATCCAACCTAAGCACTGTCGACTCTAGTGTTAACCTAACTCTTCTTCGACAGGCAATGGCTACCTCGCCATAAGCTGGAACTCCTAGGAATCGACCAAACACGAGACGAGAGTAAATTACTCGAAGGGAAAAAACTATCCATGAAGAAATCAGTACAGCACGCATACGAACGAGCTCTCATGCACCGAGACCAAGTGGAAGCAGGCCGAMGAAGTTTGCAAATGAACGATGACGAAGAAGACAATATAAGCGAAAATGGTTTCGACTAAACGAGAATWCTGTCACGCAACTTCCGTCACGTCTTTTTCTCGCTCTCCAGTCTGCGGTTTAGCTGCTGTACACYTTGACAAAATGACGCGTTGTAAGTATTTGCAATGAATTTGAATGGCTTTTTATTTTTTATCAGGCTTACGCCAAGCTCAAAGTAAACTCGCCCCTGGCTCGTGCAAGTTTTTAAGATTAAAATMTTTTGAATCATACCCAAAACTATGAAATGCAACCTTGATTTCTTTATCAATACTTCTGTGCAAACTCTATTCCAATTATTTGCACCGTCAAAAAGTCATCGCTTGAGAAAAACCATTAGTCGACGCGCTTGTTGTCAAGGTGTACAGGCTGTAGCTAGTGCCAGTGTCTGGCATACCTTTGATCAATATCGTCAGAAAACTAATTTTTCATCTTTCTTAATAATCCATATTTTTTGTAGTAAAATATATATAATCTACGCTCGCAATTCCTATGAAAATTCCGCTTTTTGTAATATGACCAGTATTCTACACTCGCTCGCAGGGGTTTTCAGTCTTCATTGTTCTTGCAATTCGTGATACCAGCGAAAGWGTCGCTCGTTGGTTTCTCTCAGGGGAGGGGTGAGGGTGGTAAATTTCACCCTTGTCAAACCATAAGCCAAGTTTCAAAATTGAAGCTCAAAACGTTTTATATACAAATTCTCTAATTCAGATCGTATGCATGGTTTTGACCAATCGTGATGTTTGTTGTAAAGAAGTTAAGCACGTCTAAGTAAGTCTCAGGGCAGTTCAAAACTGTATAAAACTGCAATTTTTAGCAAATTTTTTCAAGTCCAATTGTATTTAAAATGATATTTGGGTCAGGCTTATTAAGATTTGTGTTCAGTTAGTCGTATTTTTTAATGAAATATGTATACTTTAGACAAAAAAATCATGTAAAATTCAACTGTATTAGACCAAGCACTCACAAACAAARACTCGCTTGACAATTAGGAACTTCTTGTGTGGTTTTTGAATAAATATCCAATGGAAAACGTTATTGTGTATATATATCTTGTACGTTAGAGATGCATTTTTAACTATCAAGAGGCTTAAATAAAGCACTGTTTTCAATATATTTGTCAATTCCATCTTTGTGTCTGTACCCTGATTTTGTGGCTACCCCCTGTCGAAAGAGGGAGACCATTGTTGTGTAAGCCATGTGAAGTYTTTTCGACAGAAGTCCGCCCTCACAATATACACCTTCCTCCAAACTGTTGAACTCGAACCCGACTTTGGTATCAATGTATTGGTGTGACTTTCCCTGCTTAACCTACGAAAACTTTGCACGAATAACGGTTTAATGTCTAGATATAAAAATTTGATGAATTTACTGTCTTGTGAAAAATTCCCCTCCCCCCCCCCCTTCAGAGAAGCCTTTGCCACTCATGCATGCGACCACCACAAACAATCTATACTTTTTATTCAATTGCAAATTATGTACATTTTCTAATGATCAGTTTATAAAAGAATACCAATAAAAATAACTTAAAATGGATTGTACATATTTCCTACTAGTCTGAATATTTTGCAACTCTTACAGCATAAGTTATCCACCAGCTAATATCACGAGTCCGTCTTGACCACGTGATATCACATGTTGATCACGTAATTTTACGTTTTGAAAGTACGTGAAAGTATGTGTTGATCACGTGAAAGTCAAATTGACCACATGATCTTTCATTTTGAACACGCGATTTTATGTTTTAATCAGGTGAAAGTATAAATTTGACCATGTGATGTTACATTTTGACCACGTGATTTTACTTTTTGATCACGTGCAAGTCGAAATTTGACCACATGGTATTAGTCATGTGACTACCTATCCCCAGAAAGCTAAAAAGGGCTTGCCTATAGTTTAACAGAAGTTAACTTGGTGTATATTTACATGAAAAGACAGTTATTAATGTAATAACTGCTTTCGTTGTCTATGATTCTAATTCGTTATTTATCTATTTACTTGTAATGAAAAAACATCTTGCAACTTGTAAAACTTCAACTATAGGAACAACTTCTTTTCCGAAACTATTTTTTCTCGTCACCACGTACAGAGGACAATACATCCCTAAGCGATTCTACCATGTATRAGGGACTGTTCATCTGTTCAAAATGGTCCCTGAAATCATTGGTATTATATAAAACAACATCTGCTCGCTTCCGTAGGAAACAAGGAAAAAAGAACAGAAAAAAATCTATAACTTGTAGTAATAATATATTATCTCATAGACAACCAATSAACGCGCCCCATTGGTGTCCCTGTATAATATCGTCAAGAGTAGAACTATAATCTTTTATGAACCTTTGTTCTACCAGTCTAAAAACAAAACAAAATATTTTAGTATTAATCAAAACCAGAAAAAATCGATGTAAAATTATTAGAGRCTTGAATAAACTGAAGAATCCKATCACTCCATTACCTGCCCAGTGCTGCGTTTTCTCTTCCAACAGTCTGGATTGAATTTCTTGTGTTCTTCAGCTAATTTCTTAGCTTGAAGAACATAGAGACTTCTCTCTTCTTGGTCCATGTTCTTCCATTTATCGCCCAAAATCACACTTATCGCTCTAAAAAAGTGAACACAAATGATATGGTAAGAATTGGTAAGGCGCTTTAGAACGATTCCTGAGGAGGATTCACTAGTTTCCATAACACCCTTGCGCGCCTAGTTTCCAAGATGGCGTCGTTTMAAAGATCATGGCTATTCGTGTGTAAATKTTTGCTCTGGGACGATTCTTACAAAAGATCAAGGCGCWTGGTATTCCTTTGCCGCTCTTTCATCAATAGAAGCAATATTTTAATGAATACTAAACTAATCACGGGAAAATTKGCGCTTTAAAGGTTGTAAATTTGATGTAAATATGATGAAGTGTCCAAAATGATGTAAATTTGTTGTAAATMATTTATATCAAATTTACATCATTTTGGACACTTACATCATATTTACATCAAATTTACAAACTTGTGCGTGATTTTTTCCAGTTTCTTTGAAATCAAGCAGRCGCACTTTGAACGTTGGAGGGAGAAATTTYGGTCWCCACACCTAGGAAATACGAGTTTGTACCTGTTGTCCTTGCCAGGGTGCGCCTTGGTTATCTTCAATCTGTATTTTTTTGCAAACARCATGAAGGCATTCATAGGTCGCTTGTTCAGTTGTTGTTCTGTTTGACTAGATCCSAGGGACTGGATCGAGAAAAGCTTGGATTTCCGWGACTTGTGTTCTTGTCGATCCTGTAAAAGAGTCGYATTGAGCATGCGTAGGTGTATGTTATAGCGGGTAGTACACAATCCCACATGCCGTAAAATTAARAAGCACGAGAATATTTTACAAACCTTAGCCATACAGCTGAGTGTCAAGGCSGCATCTGAGTCCAAATCAGTGAAGTCAAACCTGAAAATCGTCMATCAGAATGTCAGTCAGCATGCAAGTAACATTGGTAAGGTGTCAGTAGGAGCTCCACTATCTAAAGCAAGCTAGTCAAAGCGGCGAGATACGAGAAATGTCCAATTTGTTTTACTATTTAGATCAGTTCAAAAAGGTTTCGTTTTGCGACGATTCTYTCATCTTACACAGGGCTAAAACAACTGTTTCAGGGTTAGAGCAACATACTGCTACAAATTGTTTTTCACTGCTGCTCTTTCATCTAATGTTTTAGTTGCACTTGCAGGATGACGTTATCCGGTAGTCTATTTGATCAAAGTTAAATTTGAGAGCTTGTGGTAATTTTGTTCTATTGCGCCACAAGATTGTCTGTTTATCTACGAATTATACGTTGACCGTGCGCCAAGGCACAAACACAGCTCCTATACACTTACATATTTGTTGTTGTTCTTGTCATGCGGTTCGCCTTAAGGACTGTAGGATGTGATGACGGAAGACAAACATCACCACGTGACAACGGTTGACAATCCATCCCATAGTTCTCTAGGGTCCTAGCTGGTTGAATCGAACTCCAGCCTTTGCTCTTGACAAAGAATGGGTGGTCGCCAGCGACTTCAGCTCGTAGACTTGGCATATTATCTGATGTCGATGAGAAGGACACCAAGAATTCTTGTACCTAGTGTATGATGTGTGATGATTACAATTAAACTACAAGTCACGTGTTGAAGTACAAGAGAAAGTCAAACAAGAAGAACAATGCAGGGGCGCCAAGATAAGGGCCTGTTCACACTATGACATAAGCATGTTGAACAAAAGAAAACGACAAAGGATTGAATAAGTCAAGCGTGCATCGATATAAGCATAGCAACTAACATAAGGCATAGCATATCATAGCATATAATCTAATCAAAGACAAAAGAATAAACAGAGAAAAACACCTTCCTTTTTGTCTTCTTAATCCTTAAACCCTTTGTTCATTGAGCTTGTGCTTATGTTGCAGTGTGAACTGGGCCCTAAACGCGAGCTTCTGCATTGCCATGGCTATTACAAAGCTCATAGCAGTGAGAACCAATCGGATTGTACTTATAGAAACCATTACCGTCTCTTCGAGATGATCAACAACATGGACGATCCCCTCGCACCCCGTCAATCGCAARCCATCACTAGGATCGCACACATTAGGAATCTCATCGTTCCCAAGATCCTCTGCATACTTCCACTCCTCTTCGCCTGATAACTGAATTCTCGTGCCGTCCAAGAAACAACTCCATGCTGTGGGGGGAGGGGTGGCATGTCTGTATGTTGTGGGATTTTTCAGGACGGGTGACGTAGCACTTGTATCACTCTCGACACTTGGAATGTTATAATCCTAAGGTTTTTAAAAACGCATGTGAACCTTCTTTTAACGGGCRGTCGGTTGTCACTCAACGTTAATAGTAAATRMTCTGCACTCTTCTATCTCGACCATCCGATTTATGCAGGTAAATATGACACAAAGGCTTAAAAGTAGTACTTACGATGTCTCTTGGRTCCATGGGACTCTCGGCATCTGTACAGTAGCCACCGTAAATCTCCTGAACGAGAGGACTTTGAGGACCAGTCGCAAGAAAGGCGAACTCCTGAAGAATGCCAAACTCGTCTTTTCCCAGGTCGAGGKYAGGAGGGATCGTTTTGGACGATTTAGTAGTCCTTGTCATTGCTAAGAAAACAATGAATCAGTTAWAGCTMTATTTGTTAAAGCGATCATCATTGGCCTAAAAGAACAACTTCTACAAAACAGGAATGTTTTGAAGTCGATGAAGACCACAGCTCATGTGAAATACTGCAAATAGGTATAATTTTCCCTTTTAGAAAAATTGCATGCTACTTGTCCAKTGATAACATTTTAACGTACAAGAAGAAACGGTAATTTTGAAATTATCTGCTCATGATTTGACTGTTTAKTTCTTTGTCTTTGAAGAAGTTGTGCTTAAACGGAAAAAATCGCAGCGTTAACAAAAGTCCACTGTGTATTCGAGCAGAACAAGCGGTTGATGAATACCATTTCGATGGGGTATTCCCCTTCCTGAATGAGTCATACATGACTCATTATCAATATTTTTCTTTGTTCGTACTTTTGCTTTTCTTTATCTTGGATAAACGAGAATTTATAAGCTCTTCCATATATAGATATAACTGGAGTCCTTTATCGAGGTTGTTGTTCCTATTTGAAGGTCGCGTATCTGATTCCCTCTTGGCTCACTGAAGTCTTCAAAAAAAAACATTTTCTCTTGAAATTTCAATTCATGAGAGATAATTAGCCATCTTAAACTTTCATATTCAAAATTATCGCATTCCTACATCGACGCTTGATGATGAAATAGTTGCGTCCTTTCATATTGCATCATATGCTTTAACTAATTTGTGCATAAAACTTACTGAGCTTCAACCTTATTCATGTGTATAGAGAAAGTTGGAAGCAATAAAACACAATAACATTTATCAAAGACAGTGACTAGATGCTAAAMGTCGGTGATAGCGACGAATTTRCCGAAAGAATTTACGCCTCAAACTAGATTTTCGGTACAAATTGCAATGTGRTTTCTGCGTCCGAGCCTCACTCGTACCTCAACCTACAATTGTTGCTACCTATGAAAATGAATTACAGTTCAAATAAATGCTGTAATCTTCTGATTGTAATACCTTTAGGGTATAGTCCGCTCATCTCCATGTATGCTTYGTCTGAATGGATGCTTTCGTTATGGTATTTCAACCCATTTGTRCTCTTAAAAGACTTCTGACAATACRTGCATTGGAAAGGCTTTTTGTTATGTTCGGAAAGCATGGTCTTGTCAAAACTAAAAGAAGAAAAATACTGTTGTAAAACTGCGGTATTACTTAAGAAGGAGGAGAAGAATCAAGAACGGCACAGCGTCCTGAAGGTGACCTTMATAAACAGTYCGACAAAAAGTGAAAGTATCCATTATTTGGATCTGCCTAAACAACTCAAAAATTACAAAACCACTTTTTGGTGCGCTTAACATGTTGCGATAAATAACTATTATCTATAGAAATGAAGCTATTGAAAAACACAGAATTTYCTTGCTTGATCTACGAAGTTATTAGAATTTGAACTTGTTACTAAACTCACAACAATTAGCACATAGTAGAAGTTGTAGTCTTTTCGACTGTGGTCACCATGTTTAGCGTCAAAATGCCGCGCCTTTGTGATACTCGGTTGAAGTGTAGCTAACTACAGGAAAATAAAGTTGAAATCTATTGCTTGTGAACTCAAGCCAACTCAGTGTTGCCAGCTTTCGCTGAATTGACTCGAATCAAAGGTATCAATCTATGCGGGTACAGTTGAATAGGTCTACTGCATAGAACAGGCCGAGACAGGACTTCCAACAACACGATAAAAAGAATCGYACAAAGACGTACAAAAATAGGAATGATTCATTCATTCAGGAATTTCATACAAACGTATTCAGAGTTTACTACGCATAGACTGTGTGTGTGCTCAGCCAGCCGAACAGGATGTAACAAAAATGAAATTAAAACTTTTTCCGTTTGTGACATTTGGTGGAATTTCTTTGATTTAAGCAATCAATTCGACTCACTACAAATTATGTCTTCATAGAGCTCGATATGTTTATATGTTTGCACAAGTATTAGTCGAAGAACTTAATACTTACAAGTCACAAACAGTATATTAATAATCAATAAAATAAGCTGGGATTTTAGTGCTAAAATCACTAAAGTTTGCCAGCGTGGGAAACTCAACCGAGTTCCGTTTAACGCTGAATTCAGTCTTGAACACACTTCTGTRTAGTTTTCTGTACCCTTTCTTTTCACGGCTATCAGAATTAGCAGAGGTATTCGCTGAAGTAAACTAATGTTAAGATTAATTGAAAATCAATGAACCTAAATATGGTGACGACCCCAAAACCCCTTACCTAGCATGTTTTTGGCGGGCTCGACATCGTGTCATCCCAAGTCGAGAAACCAGCAAAATGACAACAGTTTGTCCACTGTAAAGTGACTTATAAACTCTTTTCTTAGTATCAAATAGTCATTTTCTCAAATAAATCTTGGATTTCATTCAAAGACAGAGACTCGGTGACTATTAGTAGACGTCTATTGACGCGCATCTGCCTGACCTCAACAACCAATCAGGTTGCAGCTCTCGCTGCTGTTTATTGAGCAAGTATTGGCATGCCTGAATGATAATATGCAAATTAGCTTTAAAGACTTCAAAGTTTTTACCCAAAAATAGGAAATATCACTTAGATACGAATATTAACAATTTCTTCGTGTTAAYTGGGCGAAAATAGTTGTATTTTTGCTGTCATTTGAAGGTAAGGACGGATTAAAACGTCGTAGCAACGTAAGATAATCGGATTCACTACTCATGACGTCATTGTTGTTTAGCTGCAAGTATTGTGTTGTAGTTGTTATTGTTTTTAAAATCTGATATGACTTTGGATAAAACATTTAACAGTTTCATAATATGRATGTGAGATATTATCTCAAATATGGCTATAATGGCGCGTGATAATCAGCCAATACTATAATTTTTGAGATGTCTTTACGTACGCAAGGTACAAAAACTAATTACCTATTCGTTTTTGTCAACTACAGTAAGTACATACTAATAAATTCAATGACAATTTCACGTGATTGAAATATCATATAAGTGCAACAATGTTTATGCAACACATCAAAGCAGTCTCAATTTAATATGTTRTAAGTATTTGTTTGACTTTGACTACAAAAGGAACCACTGAACGCCCGCTGAGAAYSTTTTGGTCGGGCTTTTGGATTTTCATCATGATTCAGCCTGGGGTTAATTATTCTGTCGTTGCATGTCGAACGCTATATTTATATACATTGAATACTCGGTTTTGTGCAGACYATTAGAAAAGTGATGGGATTGGTAGCAGGACTGAYTTTTTTGGGCCACCATTGGAAAATTTGAATAAATGGATGAATGAAATGGACAARTGGATGGAAATAGSAAAATGGATGGATTATTTAAAGAAGGGATGAGTGGATTATAGAATATATTTATCATATGTCGCTAGCCGAKTGGAACAGTTGCCAGGATAAAAAATAAATGCATGGTCAATTGAATAAATGCATGAATGGAAATAGTATCTGAAGATGAATGAATGAAAGGGAATGAAAAGATTTATGATCAATACATGAATAAACACAATTAATAAAAATTCAGACAGTGACAAAGGCCAATTGCTCCCTGATAAAACTGAGAGAATTTAGTAAAGACCAGCTATTTCCTTATATGATTTTCAGTAAACCGCTTTAAGATTTAATTTAATACTGAATGACTGGGGTCGACTGAGGTGACCGGTAATCAATCACACTTTACAGACGCGTGTCAGGTCGAAGTTGACCATCATATCGATAGTACTGATAAAAGATGCCCACAAGACAATTACAACGATGAACTTTTTGCAATACGAATTGAATCGAAAATCAAAGATTTTGAGATATATAGGATGTCACAATAGCACTGAGCCATGTTACATGATATGATTATTTTAATGTAGCGGGATKTCATGATATTTATCATATCCGATATCAAAACGCTGTGGCTCATGATCTGATATGATGATGGCGATGCTAATGATTAATATGATGACCATGATAATAACGATCCGTTGTAAAAAAATGATAATTTGATACAATTCTGTGTACAATTAAGCTATTCTAGGCGCGCGAAATCCGGTTCCTGATGCTGGGGTCTTCCTGTTGTCGCGTGGAACCAAACAGTCAATTTGTGCCTCCAAATACATTAAGTAAGCTGGTATAAAGGCGTTGATTCATACGTCAATCCAAATTCAGTCGATAGAGTGAATACTACGTCTGATAACATGGAATTAAATCAGTACTAGTTATAGTCCCAAGATATATTTGCGYATTAAGAGCGGACGACGATAGCTTGACGTTTGAACCAAAATTGAGTTTTGTCATATTTTGCTATACAGTCTGATTGCAACAGTCTGATTAATGCACGAGTTTGGCTGATCTGCTTTGCCATTCGTTTTACCACTCGTGTATAGTTGGCAAACCCGGGCCACCAGAACTAAGTGAAAGTCACTTATGTTTGGAAGTATTATCTGTGTTAAAGGGATTTTTTTAATACTKATTTGTTTTGAGAAACGGCGTGAACAAKCATAAATCTTCTAAGTTCTTTTGCAACAACCCCGTAAGCGTGTCCTGCGTGTGCTCTGACCTTTTGTTTTCACTGTTGATATCAWTTTAAGCCTGTCCCCGCATATAAGAATGAAGTAATTAAGAACAGCCAAAGAGCTGAKCCATTAGCAAGTCATTACATTGTAAATTCACTAATAATCATCGAAACAAAAGCCCCAAACTCAATGTTGCTGCAGGGGGGCGACCGCAAGAATTTCACAGTCGTTTTCTTTGCACACTTCAAAGTGCTATTAGAATAATATGACTCGACCCTTATACYAAATCACTATAGCAGATTTAATTGATTAAATGTGAATGATAGCGCATGACTCAGATAGCTTAACTAACAAAAGATCTGATACTTAAGAACCAGTTGGTACACTAGTTAATCAACTAGTTTTACATAGCTTCTGATTCAATCGACTCTATCAAAATCATGCGCGCACGAGCGAATAATATTGATGTTAGGGTGTGGCAGCATTATGAATAGAAATAGTAGGTTTCCGTTGAACGGGACTTATCTACGTATAGGAAATCCGCCGACTGTTTCCCAGGGAATTAGTTTGCCAAAGTTTACAAAACAACCAAGAAATGAGCGTTATTATGTCATGCCTTATAATGATTGTGTTTTACTTCAGTATAACTTTAGTAGTATTCATTACCAAACACAAATCTTGCGATAAGCTTTCAAGGAACCGTTATGGACCGTTATCAAGACAGTAATGCCTACCGAATGAATATACGCGCATAGATTACTGGAGTATTAGCACAAGAGTACGAAATGTTATGACAAGGTARAGAGGGTGTGAATTTTGACAGATTAATCAACTGCAAACCTCCACTGCAAATATCTTTACAGACAGAAAATATAAAGTCAACATGCGCAAAATAGGGCTGAGTTATTTTAGCATCGCTCTATTAACTAARTACGCTGTAAGTGCGAGCAATTATACGGACTCTAGACTAAAACTGTTGCAAACGTCTTCAAGCTTCAATTAACATTGGGATTCGAGGGATTAAAATTGATTTTCACTGCAAAAATAAGGCGACATAACGAAAGGATAACAGCCCCCGGATACAAAACAGTCGTTCCCCTTGAGTTTCTTTATCAATAAAACTCGTGTTTGACTTACGTTCAGTCTTGTGTCAAGCACACGCCAATCAAGGTATTTCAATGTCTAGATCCACTTGAATGCACACTGGACGCATAAGGTTGTGCCACTGTAGCTTGGTGACAGYGAAACTTTGAGGGAGAGCAAGAGGGCAGCGCGCGCGCGTGGAGCTTGTTACTCAGCAGGAAGCAATTTAAGTTCATTCATCGTTGTTCTATGTCTYCGCTTTCTCACGTCAATATGCACCCCGTTCTCAACTTACGAAATGGAAGCAAATAAAATCGACCAAGGCATAGATTTTCCAAAATGTCAGCTATCAAAATCAGTGCAAACCRAAATTGGATGTCCATCAGTACTTCCTAAGTGTAGTGTTTTGCAATCATTTCTGAACGCACTGAATGAATGATCTTCGTCTTGAAATCATGCAAATTGAGCGGGAAAACACTATCATGTTACAGAAATCTATGCAGTAATTCTGAAACTCTTTCACTGCGAGATTATGGTTGCAAAACTATGTATGAATTACAATTTACAGCTTAGTTATGGATCAGGAAAGAATTTGATATTTGAAAAGGCAGAGTTTATCCATTGGGGTGTACACTTCTATCAAGCTGTTTTCCAGTAGCAGTTTTGAGTCTTTTCTCTCCAAATGAAAGAAAACATTGTATTAATCGTAAAACAATCGAACAATAGATCACCCCATCGCAATTTGCATRATAATAGATTGAAGGCTGTACCCGAATCATCATTACACTGCCCAAGCGCTTTGGCATAAATAAATGACCTTGGAAGCCTCACACAATGBCTCTTGAAAAACCAGAATTACTTCAAAAAGCGCGTTTTAAATTTCACTTARCGATTTGTATGTTAGAGCCTTGTACGCTGTAGTTAGAAGAGACGTCCGGCGCGCTACGGACCTTGAGATTTGGTAGTCACTTGTAACGAACTGTGAGTCCATWGGAATGCCATTGAAACCCGCAAAACATCATCCTCGATGCAGAAAATCTATCAACATTGATATAATTTTCACAAAGAAACGAAAATATTACAATTGTACATAAGTTCAATGGTGTTTACTATCGGAAGTGAATTCATAAAGTGAGAAAAATTAATTATAGATTTGATTTTGGGTCATTYACTATCCGGGCGCAAAAATAAWTTTTTTTACGCACGGGAAAACCCCAAAGAAACCTACAAACTTATACCCAAGTTTGTCGATATCTTGTYAAGGGACGGGAGAAGAAAAAAGACCACAAAAAGAAATTTAGAGTGGTTTCTTAGCCTGCGGTAATTTCTTATTGTTTATACGGCTCCACACGAGTCTATTGTTATTACATGATCGATCATAAATCGAAAATAATAACTTTGCCAAGGAATAATATATTGAATTATCCAAGATCCGAGCGCCATAATCTTTGATGATCGACATCCATCGTGCTCTAGCGAGTACAGCTCGAAAAAATAAGCACTTCAAAACAGCTGTTTACTTTTCTTGTAATCATTGAATCGGCTGTAAAATTCCTTCAGTCATTGAATGAAAAAATCCATAAACTCACCTTACACTCGCTGAAACAATTATGCAATTAGCCAAAASAGCTTCTGTCGACGGACGTGCGAAAATTCGCTTAGTTTGCGCGGGTTTTGACRCCGCAAAGATCCTGCGTTTGAAATCTCTCAACTTTGGCTCCCTCCGTGTAAAAGTTTACTACGTCCAGTAAACGACGCCATTGCTCTTTTCTTTTTTCCTCCAAATGTTGCTATATCAACTGAATCAACGCGCTGCTATTGGCTCATTTTGACATTAGCGTCTGAAGTATATTTCATTCATTCAGAGCTGTCAATCAAGTGAGTCACGTGATCAGAGAAGAAAGCGCGCGCGCGGGACTTGCTGAGGCATGTCCTGCCAAAACATTGAAATGGCTGCAAATAATGCCTTAAAATGACCAATTTTGAGCTTTRCCGAGTTAAAAAAACTCTTTAAGAAGGTGTATAAAGGTACGGTGGATTGTTTGTTTGCAAATATTTTTCATAAA